GATACGGAATCATGTGGCCGAAAGCCAGCCATGGGAACATTACTATGTGGAGCTTCTTCTCGGCGGCCATGGAAGGTGAATCGGGAACCTTATCCAACTAATTGTAATTTGAAATCACAGGGCGAGCATTGCAAGCTTCTCTGTAAAGTGGTTTCAGCGCTAAAGAGACGTGCTAATAATGTCAAAAAAACAAAATAAATAAATAAATACTTGGTCGTTCATATGCCTTAACTAACACCAAACAACTTATTCGATTTGAAATTCATTTCCCGTAATAAAATAAGATCATATATTATGCAATCATTATATGTATTATATAATATATATAATTAAAACGTAACATATAAATCTTATTATATTCTCCATTCGTTTATACCCTACAAATCTTTACTCAATAAATATAGGAACATATTTGGAGAAGTTAATCCCCGATCACAATTTGAAAAATTGATAACTTATTATTTTAATTTTTTGTTTTGGAAAATACTTAGGCACATATTCTCCCATTAAATATTTGACAATTCATTTTTTTAATTGTTTTTGCATTTATCTCTCTTAGTTGTCATATTTATCGGAGGTAAGGAATAAGTTGCTCTACGAGCCAAGTATTTTGTAATTTATTTTTTTCTTTTAGTTTTCAAGTATTTAATAGTATTGAAGGACAAAATAAGTTCTTTATTATTATTATTATTATTTTATTTTTCATTTCTTCCTTTTTAGTTTCCAAATATTTGATAGCAATCAAGGATAAGATAGTTCTTTATTATTTTCTATAAATACAATATCCTAAGACAAAATAATAATAAAATAAAAAAAAATATCACCTTTCTTGCTGCGAAGTTCAGAAGATAGAAGAACAGTTGTCTCTTCCTAGTGGTCCTAACTTTGTGAGAGGAAAGATGAGGTAAGATTTTGATAAAAGATATACTGGAGTTAGGATGGTTAATGTATGAAGTCTATTCAGTGCTAGAGGTAGAACGGCGTATTATAGATCGATATGAATATCACGAGTTGTACTACAATAAAACATATTGTTATTGATATTTGATGCATTTTTTTATCTACAATGTCTTTGAAAATACGTCAAGCTGGCATCTTATACTTAGTTTAGGGAGATGGTTAGTCATATTTTGAATTTCACAAAAATTTCAATTAACAAGTGTGATTTATCGAACATTCTGTAGTTGTCTCTTCATTGAATCATTATTAAAATCAATATAATATTGATTAAATGCTAGAGTACTCGGATACTTTCACAAGTCCATATATAAAGTATTCTCTTCCTTTCCGTAACTAAAAATGAAATTAAATTCTATATGTCTCTATTCAATCTAATTCAAGACTCAACCAATGAACACTACAGTATTAAATATGTATTTTAAATATTTCGAATAATTAATGTTCGAGAATTATGTTTTTTTTTTACAACTTTTGTTTATGAGAATCAAATTTAGTTCAGTATTTTATTTTATCTTTTATTAATAAATTGCAACTTTTAACATTTATGACTACAGAAAAATGTCTCACACTTATTAGAAACTTATTTGAGTTGAAATTATTACGGATGATCAAATAAAACCACAAATTATGCAGTAATTATATGCATTATAAACAAATAATACAAACATAAATTAACAAAATGTGAAGAGTATGAGAATCTCACGACAGCCTATGAATATTATTAATTGTGATTGAGATGGGGGTGGGCAAAATTTTCTTCTTCTATTTTTCTTTTAAGTTTCATATTTAGTTTTTACCGCCTAACCCTCTCCTTTTAGTTATTTATTACGTTTTATTGATATATATATAATATATTATATATATATATATGTATTTTTTTTTTTCTTCCCATATCCAATGTTCATATTTTTTAGTTATAAATCTAATATTTTATATCTATACAAATAGGGTAATCATAGAGTAAAATATTAGTTGATGTATCGATTTAGTTGACATATTGGTGAGGGAGGAATCACACATGTTAATAATAAATAGTATGAACCTTTTATAATAAAATAATATATTAACAATCACGTGATCGAATATTGATAATTTTTTTTTTAAATTACATGTAGGAGGATCGAACTTCTAACTTCTAAGTTGATGTCAATTAATCCTTATCATTTTAGCAAATATTGATAGTTAATATAAGTACTTTGAAAGAATTTTCTCCCTATTAAATTTTGAGATTGATGGACCAAATAATGTGTGATTTTTTAATTTCAAATTCACTCAAATTATAGAATCTACTCAAATTATTTTGATTTTATATTTTGATTTTTAAAATATTTTTACCAACTAT